TTATATAAATAAATTTGACATTTTTTGGTGTTGCCAAAAGTTGAAGTTGATACAGTTGAAGTCAGATGTTTTAGCCCCCCTGTTTATTTTTTCCCCTATTTCTGTTTAAGGGGAAGAAACATTTTCCAACACATTTCTAAACATAATAGTTTTAATTACTCATTTCTAATAACTGATTTATTTTATCTTTGCCATGATGACAGTAAATAATATTTGACTAGATATTTTTTAAGATGCTAGTATTCAGCTTAAAGGGCTATTTAAAGGCTTAACTAGTTTAATTAGGCAGGTTAGGGTAATTAAACAAGTTATTGTATAAAGATGGTCTGTTCTGTAGACAATCGGGAAAAAAATAGCTTAAAGGGGCTTTTGACCTTAAATGGCTTTTAAAAAATCTGATGATCTGAAGAGTTGCACATCCTAAGTTCTATTTGGGCAGAGCACCAGGTTCTGATAATAAGATTGTGTCACTATTAATAAATGTATTTTTCCCCTCTAGTATAGTATAACCTTGACTTTAGAATTAAATTAGCAACCTTATTTATATTCCCATTCACCCTCTCTACACTCCAATCAGAAATGTCCTTTTTGGAATGGAGGTGTGGCAATAACATTTAAAGCCAATAGATGAAGAGACTTTCCCTAACCATATTTGCATAGAGAGTTTAGAAAAAGGGTTCACACTCTAAACTGGCATAAAAACAGCACAAAAGCTTGCTTACTCGAGGTCACATAAGCAGTGCTTCTGACTTCACTTGGGCGCACGGCCCATGTATATTAATGGCCGCCCAAGTATATTTAGTGACATATAATTCTATTATATTATTCTCCTTTTACACTATATTGTATACACCTAATATAACCAAACATCCGTTATCGATTAAGTAGTGGAAAATATTCTCGCTAATGTAAAATTTTAACTCCATGCATTGACAACTTTCTTCTGTTAAGTCCAGTGTCGTTTGGACCCAAACATTCCTCATAATGTATCTGAAATGTGACAGCATTGTAATTTTTTCTTTTCCTATTATTTTACACAGACATTTGCGCTGCTTGTGTTCCATGATTGAGGCCTTGAGATTACCAGAACTAAGCTGGAAGACACTTGATGTTATAAAGACTGAAATTACGGTCAGAGTGTGAATGTTTTGTAAATATTAAAACTGAAGCATACACTTAGCTGGGAAGAAAGTCAATTTATAAATGTCAAGTGCACTTAATCCAGGTCACAGGAGCTGCTAACATTTGCACAGTTCAGAGAAGACAAACGCCCCGGGTCGTCCCATCAGTCTCTCCTGTCACTGTGTGTCATTATGACTCTCATGCCTGTCACTTCAACAAGCAATCTGTGCTGTTGTTGAGATGGACGTTCCGCACCTCATTTTCGCTTGCTCTGTCTCTCTCTTTCTTCTCTGTTATCCTGTCTCATGTTTTTCCAGATCTGACTCAGATGGTTTAACACACATTCACAAGAATTCAAGCGAACGGCAGCCATTTTGTCTTTAAGAATGAAAACACAACGACAACAACAAAAACTTTGAGCCCACTTTAATCACAGCAACTTTACAACATGGTGTTGGTGCATGCTTTGTGTTAGATATTGTTTTGTCTGTCTGTGTGTTTGTGTGCTTGTTGTTATCAAATGTATAAGTGTATTAACTAGTGAAGTTAATATGTTTCTTTCAATAGAGGCACATCCAATACTGTTCCGAAATCACTGAACTGTAGATGTCTCCAAAATACAGATTCAATAGCTACGTTTTCATCCACCTATTTTTATGTGCATTTTGGATATACGCATAAAAAATAGGTTGATGTACTCGCCAAGATACGCATATTTTCATGTACATTTTGTAAATGTGCATAAAAAACGTGCACAACTGAGTAGGATAAACATTTTATTCGATAAGAAAAGATGCACATAAACTACGATGGAAACACTTTTACAGAACAAATTCCAGTATGTGCATTAAAAAAGTTCATGTGATTTTGTTATAAGAGATCAAGTGATGATAAAAATGTTTGTGAATGGAGAGTTTATTAAAAAGTTTCAACCTCTAAACTGGTATAAACAATGTACAAAAGCTTGCTGCATTACAACTCTAACATTCATTAACCAAGATTTACTCTGGGTTTCATATGCAGCGCTTCCCGCACATAGACTTTACTTGGGCGCACAGTTGCGAGAGCGAGAGAAACATTCAATAACTCATTCTTGAATGTAAACGACTCATAAAAATTTTACTGTAACTATATACTACAAAATGACTAGTCTAAACTGGCCGCAAAAAATATGTACACCATTAGTAACAGTTAATCAACGCATTTGCCTTATTTAAATGATCTACACATTTTGATGTGTAATTTTTATAATTTTTTGAGAGATTGTCTGTAATTCCTTTTTCTGTCATTTTTTTTTTTGCTGTATGTTTTGTTATTTTGATGATGTCATCATGCTATATTACATAGGCTATTTATTATCTAGTTTGCTTTGAACTTAGAAACTTAAATTAGAATGTAATAATAAATACAATTATTGTTAAAAATTAAATTATAATTTGTTTGTCACATATAGTTAACTATTTATGTGATGTGGGTAAATGGTGTGTTTCAATCAAGCTACCACTGCAAGTATATTTCAAACTTAAGGGAAGCACTGCATATGTAATAACTTATTCATAATAGTTTATGTATTTTTTAAACGTTTATTTATGTGCTTTTTGCTTTTTATAAAACTACAACAAATTATAGAACAAAAAAAAAAACTATAAAAAACACCCAATTCAATACACTACAATATAATACATATAAAATACAATACATAAAAAAATAAGAAAAAATACTAATCTATGACAGAATAACTGAACGACAGAACACAAGGGGACAAATACACACGAAAGCAAAATATTATTTAGCTGGTCAGGTGATGCATAAATAAAAGCAATTATAAATTATTGTTGTTGTTGTATCACCAGAAAAACGCATTATCCTAACTACAGTGTTATTGTCAAATAATAGTTTGGCACATTATTAAGAATATTTTAGGTTATGAATTGTGAATATCGATTACACTCTTAATCTTTAGTTACTGTGTTATTGAAAGGGGTTACTGTTTGGCTTGTGTTTCTTCCAATGCATTAAGATGTTTTAATATCTGGCCCCATGTTTTGTCAAATATCTGCAATTTGTCCTTATTGATATATCTAATATTTTATGTATTTATTGAAATGAAAATAGTAAGGCATATAGTAAAGTAATTTTATATGAAACTGGGTAAAGTAGTACATATTCTATTAATAAAATATAAATAAAATGATCAAATAAACAATAAACAAACATATCATTTATATTAGCCCCCGACACATTAAAGTCATTTATAATAACTGATTCATTTTATCTTTATATATATATATATATATATATATATATATATATATATATATATATATATATATATATATATATATATATATATATATATATATATATATATCATTGAAATCCTAATTATTAAGCCTCTAAAATATTTTCCAAATGATGTTTAACAGAGCAAGGAAATTTTCACAGTATGTCTGATAATATTTTTTTCTTCTGGAGAAAGTCTTATTTAGTTTATTTCGGCTAGAATAAAAGCAGTTTTTAATTTTTTTAAGAACCAATTTTTTTAATCAAAATTATTAGCCCCTTTAAGCTATATATTTTTTGATTGTCTTCAGAACAAACCACTGTTGTACAATAACTTGCCTAATTACCCTAACCTGCCTAGTTAACCTAATTAACCTAGTTAAGCCTTTATTGTCACTTTAAGCTGTATAGAAGTGTCTTGAAAAATATCTAGTCAAACATTTACTGTCATCATGGCAAAGAGAAAATAAATCAGTTATTAGAAATGAGTTATTAAAACTAATATGTTTAGAAATGTGTTGAAAAAAAAATCTTCTCTCCATTAAACAGAAATAGGGGAAAACAAACACACAGCTGGGCTAATATTTCAGGTTGGTTAATAATTCTGATTCAACTGTATATAAATCAGATAAATGTCAGTTAAGTTCCATTCAGACTATCAAAGGTAATAAGTACAAAACATTATATTTTTTAAAATCTTCATTTTATCAAAATCTACTTATTTTTATTTTATATATTAGGTAGGTAAACTCTGATAAAATGAAGATTTTGAAAAATATATTGTTTTGTATTTATTACCTTTGATAGTCTGAATGGAACTTAACTAACATTTATCTGATTTACTATGAACAATTTTAATGATACATAGAATAAAACAGTTACTATGTTGCTTTAAATGAATTTCATTTGTTTCGTTTGAAGGACGCTAATGCATACAACAAAAGTGTGACATGTCATTACATTACTGTAATTGCTATTTAAGCAACTAGAAAGATGAAAACTGCAGGCTTCAGTTCTGAATAATCTTCCTCTGCTGAAAAAAAAAAACATCCGTGAGCAGTGTCTGACTTCTCCCGGCACTGTCAGAAATCCCTTAAACTTGCAGTTAGTGAATGTGACAGAGAATCAGCATTTGGAGAGAAAAAAAATCCATCTGCAGGTCTTTTGGGACTTTGTCACTTTTGATGTCATAAAAATGAGAATTTGAGCTTCTAATTCTTAGCAGTCAGATATTCAAAGGCATTCTAATCCCTCATAAGCGCTCGCTCTCTCTTTCTCTCGCTCGCTTCAAGTATGAAGTAGTCATTTTCACTTGGAAGCTGAACAACTAAAAGATATGATTAAACTCTCCATTAACGTCATTGAGTGCCAACCAATTGACACCCATTTCGTTTTCCCCATTGGGAGTCCAAACACACCTGGCATCCGGCTTTATTTCTGGACATTTCGATCCCACCGTTACCTTGATTGGAACAGTGCCTGCTATTGAAAGCATGTTAGAAATGTGTGTGTGTGTGTGTGCGTGTGATTGCAGTCCATGATGGTAGATGCAAGAAATGAGCCTGATTGGATGGTTCATTTGTTCTCCTTTGTAGAGCCAAGCCGAGGCGCACTACAAAGGCAGTAAACATGCCAAGAAGCTCAAAGCACAGGAGTCACCGAAAAATAAGCAGAAAAGTGCAGTCGCCCAGGACAGCGGCACTAAGACAATCACCAGCACCTCCACCAACACCACCACCACCACCACCACCTCCTCCTGCACTGCAGTCACTGCCAGCTGCTCTGACCAAACAGGTTAATAGCTCCTTTTGTTCTTGCTCCACATCAACTGTCCTGTCTTCTTTCTCCACTCCTTATGTGTTGACTTACATCAGGGTCGGAAATTAGACAATTGGGTAAAAATGCCACCAAAACAGGCAAAAATTCCACCAAAGCAAGCAAAAAAAAGCAAGATATTGGTAAAAATGATTACAGTGAATTGTGAAATTAAATGAAAACTGTATGTGTTCACTTCCATCAGAGTTTAGAAATGTTCCCAAAATAAACCAAAATGTTTCAAATGAAAGACAAGCAAATTAAAGAGAAAATTAAAGACAAGCAGCTTATTAAACTCAAATTTACTGCTATCAAGATTAAAGTGAAATGTCAAAGTGAATGAAGATTTGTCAATATTGGATAAAAAAAATCTTGCTGCCATTTTTTTAGTTAAATCAATTTAACTTTTAGTGATGTGTACTAACATTAATTAAACTGATCTAAAGTATTAAGTTACACTTTGTAAGATGATAAAAAATAGGTTAAAACCTTTATTTTATTGGTAGAGCAGAGCACCAGGTTGCCCATGAGGATCACATGAGTTGCCTGTGGGCCTGTTTTAAAAATAGCTTACCATAGCCACTTACCAGTAAGCTTCATCCAATATTTTTGAAGCTATTATTTTAAAATCACACTTGCATTGATGTAAATTTGAAAATTACATTAAGTTATATATAAAAAAAAAATTAAAAAAAAATATATAATATATATATGAATTGTGAAAATAAATAAAATCTCTGTGAATGTGTTCACTTTCATCAGAGTTCAGAAATTAACAGGGCTCGTGGCAGAAATGCCCCCCAAATAAACCAAAATGATGCAAAAATGAAAGAAAAGCAGCTTATTAAACTCAAATCTGAAATGCAATCATGATTGAAATCAAATGTGAAAATGAAGATGTCAACACTGTATAAAAAACTTGCTGCCAATTTTTTTTTTAGTTGAATCAACATAACCTTTGTAGTCATGTTAACTTACACCAGTCAAGTCTCCTTTTAAGTCAAATTTAAAGTCATGATCGCCTATTGCCAGAAAAGTTCATTTCTGACCCTGACCCCCCTGCTTTTATTCTCACCCCTGCCACTGTTTATACTCTCCATCTATATGTTTGTGTCCTGCTGTATATGTAGTTGTATTTCTCCTCGTAAAAGCACTTGAGGTTGACCAGGGCTATCCTTCAAGCTCAAACACATGCTTGTTGTTGACGTGTAGAGGTAAGAAGCGGCCCTGCTGCGGCAGTAATCTGCCATATGCTTTATAATGTTAACAGCAGATCACTCTTCTCGCAGCTGTGTTTGCTTGTTTCATCATTACCTGCATATTGAGTTCCCTGCACATCATCTTTGTGTGTTGCGTCTAATCGTTTAATTACGAAAAAACGCATACAGAATTGAAACAAGCGCTCGAATGCGTGCTTGGATGCTGTTATTTTCTCTTTTTTTCTCCTCCCGCTTGGCCTTTGATTTGACTGAATTAGATTTGTGTTCCATTTCAAAGAACATAATCATCTGATCTTTGCTTCATGCTGTGACCCACTCGATTTCAGGCCCTTGTGTCTGATTAAGAATCAAGACTGGGATGTACCAAGACACGTGCCCTACGGGGGGCAAATCTGAGTCGGCGCATACTTTTTCCGAGCTGGCTCTTTTCTGTAGCTGCAGAATTGGAGACAGATTTGGGCGCACCTCATTTATTAGGCAGTGGTGGTCCTCATTGATATGCAGTGTCTTTGCACAAATCAGGCCAAATGAATGTCAGCCTGATTCACAGATGGCTTATGGGTCCTCGCTGTCACGCCATCGTATTAGCAGCGCGTTGAGCTCGGACCGAGACTCGAAGGGGGGCTGCTGTTGCCGTCTCTTTCTCCCTGAACCCTGGCAACACACAATGCAGTCAGATTTAGTTTACATGGGGAAACTTCAAGCACTAAATCATTAAAATTGCTAGCTCCAGTGCTTTACGTAAGAGCCAGTTTTATGTAATGTTTTAGAACTCCGTGTGTTGGAATATTCTGGGATGTGTGCTCACAATAATTGCTCAGCCTTTATTTATTTATTTATTTATTTATTTTTTAGAAATGTTCTACTCTCTCTGGCTTTTTCAAAAAGGATATGGCAAGGTCAGATTAACATTGCAGTCACTGCTTGAGCTGCATCCAAATAAGCAATTGTTATCACTGTGGCTCTGTTCCAAAACCTAGAGAGCTGCCTACATAGATTGTATTTAAAGTACATACACTGTGTACTAGAAGCATCAGAAGTGCCAGTGAGGAGTTTTGCATCCTTGTTCTTTTTAAACTTTCTATTCATCAAATTGTAACAACATTTGAATTTCTACCAAAATAAAAAAACATATTTTAATTTATTATTGATATAAAACATCTTATTTTCCGAGGGGGGTCCTCAAAAATTAAGCATTTGTTAAAATATTTAGCAGTACTGCTGTTTTCATCATGGCTGATTTGGTTCTTAAGAAACATTAAAATGACTTCTAAAGGATTGTGTGTTACTGAAGACTAGAGTACATTCATTTATTCATCTTCCTTCGGCTTAGTCTATTATCTACCGCCAACTATTCCAGCATGTGTTTTACGCAGCAGATGTTCTTCCAGCAGCAACCCTGTACTTAGTTGATTAATAAAGGGTCTAAGCTGAAGGAAAATGAATGAATGAATGAATGAATGAACATTTCATAAAATTAGTGCATATTGCCAATAATAATAAAAAATATTTTAAAACAGCGGAATGAACCACCAACTTATCCATCATATGTTTTACACAGCGATGCTCTTCCAGCTGCAACCCAGTACTGGGAAACATCGATATGCACTCATTCACACACATACACTACGGCTAATTTGGTTTAATCAATTTACCTATAGCGCATGTCTTTGGACAGTGGGGGGAAACCAGAGCACCCGGAGGAAACCGACGCGAACATGGGGAGAACATACAAACTCCACACAGAAACGCCAACAGACCCAGCTGGGACTCAAACCAGCAACCTTCTTGATGTGAGGCAGCAGTGCTAACCACTGAGCCACTGTCTAAAACACTGCAAACTCTAATATGGAAGTGAAAAATAATAATTGACTATTAGCTGCGGAACATTTTCTGTGGGGACAAAAGTAACACAGATATCTTGCTGTTTAAACCTGATTTACTTTTAAACTGAAAAATTCAGACATTTTAAACTCAAGGATCTGCTATTGCACTAAATAACCAGTGAATTGATCATTAGTGTGACACATGAAAACAGAAACGCAACTTGTAATGAGGAAAAATATCCGCTACAATAATTTACTTTTTGCACTTAAAAACAGAAATAGGGTTGTGGCGAGGGGGCGTGGCCGAGAGCCGTGGGAATGCAGTGAGGCCACCGCGTAAGTGAATACACCTGCGGTGCGCACCTGCCTCGGATCCCACGGAAGGAGCTCTGGACAATAAAAGGAGGAACGATGGCAGAGGAAGCCGAGAGAGGCCCGGGCATATTATTTTACTTTTGCTTTCAGTTTGACGGCAGTCTCCGTGAGGAGCTGCCGTCCGTTTATTTTGGTTTAGACGGCAGTCTCCGTGAGTCGCGGTTATTAATAAATATTTTAAAAACTGCGTCGGTTCTCTGCCTCCTTCTTCCCGGCGGCCAAAGGGCCGTGAACCTTATTACAAGGGTATATGCGGAAGTATGCGGAATGACTTTTAATTTGTCAGTAACCTGGGTTAGGCGCTTCCGGTGAACTGTATGCTATTACAAAATCAGCACGTTTAAGGTCTGTTTTCTTTAAAAATCAGTGATCTCCACTGGCTGAGTGATATCCAATATAAAGTGGGTCTCATATTGTACAAGAAGCATCGCATTAAATTCCATTTTCCCTGCCATATCTTTAAAATATGAACATTTATTTTACCGCAGTATATTCAATGGAGATTCTGCGTTAGCCTGCCGATCCTAACTGGCGCATGCGAGTAAACGGTTTTTCATCTCATTTTACGCTTGAGCAACTAAATGAATGCCAAAGTCTATTTAACTGAATGGATTTTAATTACTTTACCACATCAATGCTGTAAATGGAACTGTATAAAATGGAAAAAAGTCACATTGACCATTCACCTGAGGTTTATTAGTATGGGAAGAAACACTGGCTCTGCATATATACTTAATATATACTGCATATGTATATTTGGAGCTAACTGCGGGACGCAATGCCAAAATCACATGACATTTGGCAGCTGCATCAAGAATTGCATGCTAAATGTGCAGCTATCCGCTTGTTAGGTGGTGACGTGTTGGTGACGTATGTAATACTGTTTCCGGGTCCAAGCCGCCACTCATCTGACTTAAGAAATTATGTTTATGATCACTTTTTATTTATATCACACATTAAAGTTAATTTTGTATAAAGTCATACTGTACACAACAATCTCTGGGCTTGCTGCATAACAAATACCAAAATTTTAACAATTTATAAAAAAAATGAATCACTTTCTGGCCATCGGATATTAGGCATGGACATATACGAATAAATATAACGTATTACATCGCTTTGTAAACGTTTATTATTACAATTTCATGAGTCTCCCCATACAGTTGAATAGAGTGCTTGGACCCGGAAGCCGCTTCGCATGACGTCACACTTAACAAGCGGATAGCCTGGAAATCAAATGTTGTCAAGGCTTCGAGAAAATCGCTTTGTTGCTTTCATCTCACGTTACGTTCATCACTGCTCTCCCGTACATGTTGTTAGGTATATTCAAGCATTTAATATTATATTACTAAATCATTTTAATTGGTTCAATCACACTTATTGTTCAAGCTACAAAAGTGTCTTATAAATATTCATATATTTTCACACCAAAAACGTAATGATTATATTTACTTCATATTTGTATGTGCTGCATGTTTAATTATCATTAGAGTATCATAGCATTAGCTTAACATCAGCTGTAAATCACATTTGCATCAGCTTGAGATTTGTAAGATTAGTTCCAAACTGAGCCGACTAGGTTTTGAAACAGAGCCTATAATTTCCGTCAGTTTTATAAAAAGTTTTACCAAAACTTTGTACTTCATCTCTGATCTGTTTTGTTATTCAGCTACAATGCTTCCTTTATGACTCACTGCAAAAAATAGCGAGATCCAGAACAAAGGGGCATATGTCTTCACGTCTATCTACCACGCATTGAGAGATTTGGAATCTAAACCGAAACTTGGAGAAAACAGAAAAATGCAAAAGTGCAGCAGCTCCAGCCTAGAGGTTCAGGTTAGTGTCAGCGGGTGTAATGTCACTGTATGGGGGAACATTAGACTGTTCTGGCTGCTTTGAGTCCTCGGGGAAAGCAGGAGCAGAGAGTGACATTCATATAAAGCAGCAGAGCATTCCCTCAGAGGCCTGTTGGAGAGTGGGTGGAGAGTACAAGCATCCGACATTGAGTGCTTCATGGGGCCTCCAGCGGCATCTGACGCTATGAGAAGGGTGCGAGGGTTGTGGGCGATCCAGGGGTCACGTCCTATCACATTACTGCACGCGGGACCCAAGCCCTCAATGGTGTTAGGAGAGAGTCTGACCTTACTTGGCTCCACTGTAACCAGTGTTGGGTAGTGACGCGTTATATTTAATCTGAATTATTTGATCTGATCGCAAAAATTATAGGGTTGTTCCAATACCGATACTAGTATCTGAAATACTCGCTGATACTGCAAAAATTCTGGCATCGTTATCGGTGAGTATTTAAAACCATAAACTGTTCCGATACCATCTTTTTAAATGAGATATATGCCCGCTAGCTTTGCTTAACACTAAAACTAGGGATGTCCCGATCAGGTTTTTTTTTTGGTGCCCTCAAGTCCTAGTCCTAGTCAGTTGATTTTGAGTATTTACTGATACCAAATCCTGATCCGATACTTATATAATAAATTTTAAAAAAGATTAAAGAAGAGCGAAGAAACAGATCCTTGATGTTCCTTATTTTTTATTTAATTCAAATTATTGTAAAACTCTGTTAACAAACGGAGCACTTCTGTGAGGTAGCTTGAACATTCAAGTTAGAAAAAAAACAAACTCTTGACCTCTTGCAATCCCACGTTTACATATCTCACAGTTTGCTATGGCAATGTTGTCATCATTAACTTTATAATACCTCCAGACTGCTGACGTACTCGGGTTGTTGCTAGATCAGATAGGGCTGCGGTCGGAAGTTAATTATTTATTTAATTATATAATTAAATAATAATTAATTTATTTGATTAATAATTATAGAGTTATTTATATGATTTATTAAATTTAACATCTACCCCAACCCTAAACCCAACCGTCACAGTAATGTATAAATAATAATTATTGTTATACAATGTCACAAAAATGATGCTATATTGATGTGCGTATCCGCAGCTGTATCCAACTAGACTTTACCAAATACTTCAAGCCAGGGGGTAGGCATATGAAGAGGGGGATTGGTAAAATGAGGTGGCGGGCCAAATTTCAGAGGATCCAGATCCTTGTTCTGGCACAAAATAAGCCCTGGTTATTCTGTAAAACTACTTTTTTTTTTTTTTTTTTTCAAACTACATTTGATTTGTGGCTAAACTAAGTAAAGTACAAAAAATATTACTGTTAAATGACTAATAATAAAAAATGTCAATTATAAAAATACTCTAGTTTACTGTATGTATTTGTTTGTGGTTTTTTAATGCATAAGTGTGAAGCACAGCGTAAATTAATCCTTTTACAGGGCTAGTAGTATACACAACTGTTTCTGTAGAGACACACTCTGGTATTGGTTTAGTACTCGATATTGCTGAGCTCAGGTATTAGAATCTGTATTGGGAAGGGGAAAAGGGTATCGGATCATCTCTAAAAAATTATGTGCTGGATTTTATTTCTATTTTAAAACATTATTTTTATTATTATTATTTAATTATATTCTGTTCACATAGTGGGAGTGAATAATTCATTTTCATGGTGGACTGGAATATTGCAACGTTTATTATAATTGAATTATACATGCACATCAATGTTACTATTTTAATGTGTGTTACTTTTGTTAAAATAACTTCTCTTTCCCCTTGATGACACTCTTCAATGATTGTGTTTACTGGCATGAGGGCGGGATCAACCTGTCACTTAAATGAGATCCACCAATAGCAAAACACAATTATTCAATTAAATCCTGATTGAACAGTTAGTTCTGTCCTACAGTTTTTCTTCTGTCATTTCACTTACTGTATACATAATTATAAAAAGAGAAAAAACTGTCACATTTTCTGTTTCATGCTGACTTTAATCCTAACACGACTTGAACATAAATAAATGTATTTAGCTATTTATTTCATTTTTTTATCAACTCCCAAACCCAAGTTTCTTCCTCAATCTCTTTTTTTAATCTAAATAATATTTTTGTACTTTATAACTATAGATATTTAAATTTCTCTGTTTAAATAGTTTTGATTTTTTTTATAATATGAATATCATACAAAGAAATACTACTCAGCTCTGTGTTAAATGAGTTGAACGGATTGTTTGCCCAAAAATTGTAATTATGTTATCATTTAATCACCTTTTATTTGCTTCAAATATTTAAAGGTTCCTTTTTTTTGTTGAAAAAAATACTGAAACCCTTTCATAGTAGTTGTTTCTCCTATATTGAAGTCAATGGTTACAGGCTTTATACTTTCTTCAACATACTGTATCTTTTTTTGTGCTTAACAAAAGAAAGAAACACATAAAAGTTTGGAACCAATTGAGGGTGAGTAAATGTTGAATTTCTTAAATTTTTAGATGAACTATCCCTTTCAATCAAACTATTCTAAAGGCCCCAGTATACTTAAAATACATTTCTTTTTTAATCTTTGTGTGAGGGCAAAAAAAAAAAAGTTAGATAAGGACATTTCATTTTTGAACATTTCAACATCTAAGAAAAGAAATAATATGGCAATATTAGGTCTGCCAATGGGGTAGGGAAAATAATATTATTTTTCTTTTTGACATAAGATTATTTTGCTTACCCCATTGGCAGATTATTTTGCTTGTTTAAAGGTAAAACTCACTTAATTTTGGCATATTATTTCATAAAACAAGACGATATGTTTTGCTTGTCTAGAAAATTCTTCTTGATTTAAGAATATTTAAATATTTAGACTAGAACCAAGACAAAAAAAAATCTAAGGAAGAAAAGCCTTTTTGCAGTGTAGAAGGGATCAAATCTAATAGATTACATTATCAACTGTTTATTTTTTGCATGTAATTTGCTGTCAGTAGTGCACAACTATTTGTAAGTATTCTGGTTGTAACTGATCTGACATTTAAACTTGAGTGGTTGCCTGCAGCGAAGGGCCTTATATCAAACCCGAACACAAAATCGTGAAAAAAAAAAGACTGAAAGGAGTTGAAAATGTGTCAGCACACTACACAACACTCTGAGCCCTTCACCACTAACTGTCAGATTTGCTCTTTCCTTGTTTCTCTCTCTCTCTGTCTTTCTCTTATGTTCCCAGAGAAAAGTACAGAGCCGTTGGCTGCGCACAAAGTCCCAGCCTCCCCGCAAGCTTTTGTGCCAGCTCCTGTTGCGCCCGCGGTGGCATTAGTGCCCAGCCCTTGCAAGACAGCACCCGTGCATGCCAGCCCACCCACCGAGCCGACAGGACTCGCAGTGGCCCTGAAGAACACCTCCAAACCAGCAGCGTTGCCAACGGCCCCGTCAGAGCCCAGCGTGGAGTCCGAGGAGGAGAAAGCCAAAAAGCTCCTGTACTGTTCGTTGTGCAAAGTGGCTGTCAACTCCCTCTCTCAGCTGGAGGCCCACAACACAGGTGGGTAGAACATCTGCCTCCGCGAGCAATCTCTTTCCTACGGCTTTCTCTGCGATATGCCTTCTTCTTTAAATGTTTCATGAAGTGACCCTCCGAGGCTTGGGAATGTGGAAATGTACTCACCGTTACAACATAAATCACAACTAGTGTGAGGCTCATCATTGATAATGCATGAAGAGCTGGAAAATGTAGACAGGGCCCCCACGATCATGGAAAACCTGAGATATTGAGGAATTTTTTAAAAAGCCTGGGAAAGTCATGGAGACTAATTAAATATTAAGAAGTCATGGACATTTATGTAGTCAATATAATTTTTTGTAGTTTGGCTCAGCTTTGATGTATTTCATCTACAAGAGATTGCCTCTGAAAACATTATCCAGACACACATGGAGGAATTTGATCTGTGGGTTGGAGTCAGACTTGGGCTGATGATATAGCTGCGAAAATATTTTAATGTTTTTCAGCCTATAGATGACATTTGGTATGTACTGTATCTCATTCATTCATTCATTCATTTTCTTGTCGGCTTGTGCCTAGTTCAGACTGCGTGATTTTAGCCCCGATTTTGGCTCACCGACAGGTTTTGAGAAATCGCCGACAAATGCCTGAAATCACAGGCAAATCGGTGCTCGTGCACGTGAGTGACAATCACACAGTATGAACTATCAAAGAGAATCGCCGATGAGTCGCCGATGCCTGTGAGATATTTGGCATACTAAATATCTGGAGCTGTTGGCGATTCAAATCATGCCGTGTGAATTAAGTTTTGAATGAAAATAACATCGGCGATCGCCTACAGCCAATGAGAGAGCAGCATTTACTTGTGTGTGCGTGTGTGTATACCTGCTGCAGGCCAGCGGGAGGCTGGGGAAGAAGTTAAAATCGCTCTTTTTCGGTTTATTTGGACCCACGAAATGGAGGAAAAACTGTGGAGGTTTGACAGGACTCAGGAGCAACCGTGTCTGTTTGACGTTTCATACAGAAAGAAATTAGTTTATTATCAACGTTGAGGAGAAATGGCTAATTCCCTTTAAACCCAGGTGAGCAAATATGTACATGTTCTACCCCATTAAAGGCTTCTTACTCATTATGTAGTTAATAACAAAAGATATACTACGTGTTTTTGGCTGTGAGATGTAGTTTGGACGAAGTTGTCGGCGATTATTCCTATAGTAAAGTCATGCAATGTGAAAGTCCCTATCGCCGATCCATCTTGCAGTGTAAACAAAGCAGCGACGAAACGCTAGCCCAGATAGTCATGCAGTATGAAAACATCTGTGACATGACTACTTTGAAAATCATGCAGTCTGAACTCGACATTAGTCCCTTTATTAATCCGGGGTCACCACAGCGGAATGAACCGCCAACTTATCCTGCAAGTTTTTACACAGCGTATGCCCTTCCAGCCACAACCCATCTCTGGAAAACATCCACACACACATTCACACACACACACTCATACACTACGGACAATTTAGCCTACCCAATTCACTGTATCTCATTCATTTGTAAGATATTTATATTTATTCGTTTGCTTTTTTAAATTAACTTAAATCTACCAAACATTGTTTTTTTAGTTTAGTTCATCCAAAAATGTCAATTACCCCATGATTTACTCACCCTTAAGACATTCTAGGTAAATATGACCTTGTTCTTTTAGTTAAATGAGAGTTGTGTTAAAAATTATCTTGGGTTTTCCGGATCTACAATAGCAGCGCTCGGCTGTTTTTATCAACAGTCCAAAAGAAGTCCAATAAAGCAAAACCATCCATTGTAAAAATGGGTGGAATAAAGGTCTCCTGTAGCAAATACATACGCTTTTGTAAGAAATTTGTCCATATTTAAAACTTTTAAACGAGTGGAGGCCATCATCTAATTCTCATTTTTTAAGATCGATTTTTTACGTATTTTCAAAAAGAACCTAGTTCATATGAATTCATAAAATTCTTTAGTATAAAAATGTATGATTTATAAAGGGAGGCATGTCTCCAAACCACACCCCTCATTAGGGAATGAGTAAATCATACTAAAATGTACAAATGAGATCATATAAATTAGCCACTAAGTCAAAAAGTTACAAACTGTTGTGTTGGATTGTGTTGGAAAACTAGTTTAGGGTCTAATCTTGTCCTGTTTTTGGTTTGTTTAGATGTGTTTGCTCCATGTTACGTTCATATTTCAGTTGAACTGCATTAGAGATTTGAAGCGGACAGAAGCTTGTCGTTTCAGAAGTCTTAGACTTCTTAATTCAGCTGAACTACACCAGCACAGCAATCACACTAGAGTTTGTGCTAATAACACCTAAATCTGCCAAGTGTGAACACACCCTTAAACACAGTTTGAACTGATTCATGGAAACACATCAGGCCAGGAAACCTAATGGCACTCTTCATGTCTCTGACATTTTAATCGGTGATGGTCTCATTCTTGCCAATTGAGAGACAAGGAGTCTAATGAGTTAAAGAAATTGTGAGTCAATGGCAAATGAAATGCACATGAAATCATCACAGTTTGCTTAATATTGTTATACCTACAACAAAATCACTCTGTGCTTGTACATTCCACAACCCTAGACTGTAAAAATAAGCAGCAATCAGCACATAAATGAAAGATTTTGGCAGACTCAATTCAGATATCCACTGCGAGTAATTAACAAGTGCCAAGTAAAATCAACCTGCCAAAAAAAAAAAAAAAAAAAAACAGTGGCACTGAATCAACTGATTTGTTTTTGTTTTTCCCCAGTGAAAACATCCCTGTTTGTCTATTTCATCAGGTTCAAAGCACAAAACCATGCTGGAGGCACGAAATGGAGCAGGTCCCATTAAAGCGTACCCCAGACCCGGGTCCAAACTCAAAGTTCAGGCCACACAGCTGAACAAAGGCTCAGGCTTACAGAACAAGACGTTTCATTGCGAAATCTGTGATGTCCACGTCAACTCAGAAATCCAGCTTAAACAGGTATTCACTTGAGTTTCACTTGTTATGTTGCCACCCAAAGATGCTAATTAAATTTATGCACAAAACTGGAATATCACATTTAAGATTTGCGAATAATGCAACGTTTACATCCAATGAGTCGAATTTCTTTCTGATACACTGGCGCCAAATATCAAAAAAGAAAAATGGAAAAGCTCCTTTAGGCTTTTTCTTATATAATAAATTACTTGCACCTTAGTGACAATACACAATAAACATGTGATGGTGTTTAGAGGAGTTAAGTCCTGGACCCAATCCCAATTCTATTTTTGTACTCCAACCACCTCCCCTTACCCTTCACCATGGCCCTTACAACTGAGGGTTATGGGGAAGGGCTTCAAAATTTACACCTAAGAATTGGGACAGCATTACAGCACCTGCACACGTCATCATAAGCCATCGTGAGCTCTTGCTTCATATGAGATCAGACGATGGCGACTGCTGTAGTTATTCCAGTTGTGTTATTTTTTTGTTTTTTATCTTCAGGAGATCACTGAGGGCATATATCGTGTCATCATAACGATCTAGTGTAGCAATAAGATCGTAACTGTACTGTGCATTTACACAGTGGCCATGTTCATCTATATAAACACACAAAAACAACATTAACATTATTGCAGACTCTGTAAACAGCTCATTGACAGCCCCTAGACTTTTCTGACAGGGTGTACCAGTGTCATCGAGTGTCAGAATGTTGTGGGACTGCTATACAGGAGTTATTATTAAGAATTATTGATCAGGAATAGATCGCGAAATTTAGAGTTGTTTTTTTTTAAGCATGACGGTAAAACACGAACGCGGTTATGAATATATTAAAACATGTGTTTGTTTGTTGTAAAAATTCATAATAATGACAAAAATACTAATTTGTGGATCTCTGTACTTCCGGGTGCAGCTATGATTAGTGTATTCTGGGACATTTTTCTTACCTCTTGGTTTCAAGTGTGGTCCTGAAAAATCTTTGTTTGAAAGGGTGTATACCCCTTGCCCTTAACCCTACGCCTTCAAGCTAAAGAGAATTGGGACATCACTACCCTTTTACGGGCATGCGCTGAGGGGTAGAATTGGGATTAGGCCTTGGTCACACTGCACTTTTCATAGACTTCCATTCATACGCAAGCGAATGCAACAGACCAGAAATGCAAGCTCGTGTGACAAGTTTTGCAGTTCACTACATTGCAAAGTTCAAGCTTGTTGAACTCTGACCTGCAAAATCGCATCACGTGACTGCGTGAGAACAATCGAAGGTCAAAGCATGACCGCTCTGGACAGAAATTTTAAATATGGAGCAATCGCTCGCTCTAATCATCTTGTATAATCCTGCCCCTCTTTGCAGCAATGTATGACAGAATTTTGCATGCTTAAACTCTAGCGTGACCACTGCATTAGACGCTCTTTGGTAGCACAGACTCTCAAGAAAGTTCTGGAAGGGATATTTCTGAACCACTTTGATGAAGCACTTTTTTAAAGCATAGAATGAGCAAAACAACTTTTCGGATGTTTTACAATGTGGTCGGACAGCTAGTTTATCAATTAATACTGTCCATCACACCCATTTTTATCATCACATGATCTCTTATGCCACAGGTGTCAAACTCAGTTCCAAAAGGGCCGCAGCCCTGCACAGTTTAGTTCCAACCCTAATTAAACACACCTGATCAAACTAATTATGTCCTTCAGGCTTGTTTGAAACCTACAGCTAAGTGTGTTGGCGCAGGGTTGGAACTAAACTGTGCAGGGCTTCGGCCCTCCAGGGATTGCGTTTGACACCCCTGTCTTATAACAAAATCACATGACTTTTTTCATTCACATACTGGAATTTATTCTGTAAAAGTGTGTCTATTAGTAACTGCGTTTACTTACATCTATTTTTTTGCACAATTTTGATGATGACAAATATCCCTGGATGGAAATGCCAGGATGTGCATACATTTTGAAAATGCCTAAAAAAAAATCTGTGTGGGATAAACTTTTTATCCGATAAGAAAAAATGTGCATAAACTATGATGGAAATGTATTTATTGAATAAATTCTAGCATGCGCATCAAAAGGTCATGTGATTTTGCTTCAACAGATCATGTGATAACAACAATGGCGGAAAGTGACGGATATGTTTGGGTGGACAATGAGGTCCGAACATTTTTAAATGTGATACATAAGAAAGAAGTAATGTAATGTAATGTGTATTTAAATAGCGCATTTATTGTGTATGGCCATACACCAAAAGCGCTTCACAATCATGATGGGGGGTCTCTCCACACCAACATCAGTGTGTAGCATCCACTTGGATGATGCGACAGCAGCCACAGAACAACTCAACACACACCAGCTATTGGTGGAGTGGAGAGACAGAGATAGAGCCATTTCACTGGATGGGGATGAATGGGAGGCCATGATCTTAAGGACAGATTGAGGGACTTTGGCCAGGACACCGGAGTTACACCCCTACTCTTTACTAGAAGTGTCATAGGATTTTTAATGATTACAGAGACTCAGGACCTTGGTTTAACGTCTCATCCGAAAGACAACGCTCACTGGCAGAATAGTGTCCCCTTCACTTTTACTGGGGCATTAGGACTCGCACAGACCGCAGGTGGAGTACCACCTGCTGGCCTCTCTAACACCACTTCCAACAGCAACCTAGTTTTCCCATGTGGTTTTCCATCCTGGAAAACATCAGTGGAACGTGCAAATCTTTTAAGAAGTGTGAGCAGAGATGATCTCTTGCCTTCAAAAGCAAGATGACATGACTGCGCACATTGCGTTTTATCTCTGTGGCAACGGGCTTTATGCACAGCTCATGTTTTTTTTATTATGAACTTCCAGTGAAAGCTTTATGTGGATATTTTTATAAGGTTCCTTTTACAGCATCGATGTTGTAAAAGGAACCTATATAATTTTGAATTATATAATTTAAATGTAATCAGTAAAAAGACTTAAGCATGCATTTGCTTGTTAAAGCGTAAAAAGAGACGAAAAACCCGTTTAAATGCAGGCGCCGTCATTATCAGCAGGCTTGCACAGAAACTCTATTGAAAATTCTGGGGTAAAATAAATTACCATAAAAATATGCTTTAATGCAGTGCTTCTTATTTGGTCTGCTGGTCCCACTTTATACTGCATCTCAGCCAGGCAGTGAAGATCGCTGTTTTTTAAAAAGAAATCAGATCTTAAACGCAGTGATTTTGTATTTGATGACAATTAACCTGAAGCCCTGGGGCTGGTTGACTGAAATTTAAACTCTGTGTGCAAAAACCCCATTAAGTTATTATATATGAAAAAGGGCCTTTTCCTAACAGGGCATCTTCCATTTTTCTTTTGAAATTTGGAGCCAGTTTATCAGGAAGATTTTGTTCTCTTGGACTTGTTGGATGAAAACAGTACTTAATTCGCAAATGTTTGATGCAATATTCCAGTTTGGCCCATAAAATTAAATCACATCTTTGGATGGAAACATGGCTATAGTTTATGCACATACTCTTTATTAATAATTAAAAAGTTTATCTAACTGCGCTATGTGCATACATTTTTTTTGCACGTTTTCAAACTTTTTGCACATCTTTGCAATTTAATTTTATTTTATTTAATGCAATATTTCAAAATGCACATAAACAAAGGTGGAAGGAAACATAGCTACTGTAATGTTTGCCTGCTTTTTGCATGATCATTATTTATGCAGTTTACAACAAAACATAATGCATGCGGTGATAAATAATGGAAGTGTTGATGTGATTCTGTTACTTGATCTTTACCATTTGCATTCTGAAGAGTTGTGCTTCCTGTTATGCAGTTTAGGCTTTAATAACTGGCACTGAATTAGGTCATACATGCGTATGGATCACTAATGTAAGGTGTTTTGTTCGCAGCACATCTCCAGCAGGCGGCACAAGGACAGAGTGGCAGGCAAACCCACCAAACCCAAATACAGCCCATACAACAAACAGCAGCGCAGCTCCAGCTCTCTGGCAGTAATGCATTATTTATGCTCTTTATAATCAAGCGCTTTCATCAAGTGTTGCTCGCATCTCAAGTAGCAGTGCTGTGAGGAGTTTGTTCCACACTTTCTAGCCTCTTTGGGATGCTAATGCATCACAAGGGTTTAATGCTCACTCGGCAGTTTTCAAATTATATGCAAAATATGTTTGAAACAACTTACCATTTGTAGTCCAGCTGGCCCTTCACTAAGCTCCGCCTCCTGTGATTACTGCTGCTCAGTTCAAACGAGCATTACACGGAGTTGCAGAGGATTTGCTTTAATTACTTTATTTCATTTGACAAAATAAAAAAAAATACAAGTTATTATATTTTATATTCTCTAGTTATTTGCATATTTTATACTGTATCATTTTTGTAAATTACCTTTGAGTACTTGGATTGGTAAATAATTGTAATAAATTAACACTAAACAAATAATAATAATCATTTATTTATAATGAATATTTTAATAATAATATTCATTCATTCATTCATTCATTCATTTTCTTGTCAGCTTAGTGCTTTTATTAATCCGGGGTCGCCACAGCAGAATGAACCGCCAACTTAAACAGCAAGTTTTTACGCAGCGGATGCCCTTCCAGCCGCAAGCCATTTCTGGGAAGCATCCACGCACACACACATTCATACACTAGGGATAATTTAGCTTACCCAATTCACCTGTACCGCATGTCTTTGGACTGTGGGGAAAACCGGAGCACCTGGAGGAAACCCACGCGAAAGCAGGGAGAACATGCAAACTCCACACAGAAACACCAACTGAGCCGAGGTTCGAACCAGCGACCTTCTGTTATGAGGCGACAGCACTACCTTCTGCGCCACTGCCTCGCCCTAATAATATTAGTATTCACAATAATATTAATAGTAGTTGTATATGTTTTATTATTTACAATATGTTATTCTTAAAATATTTTCATTAGTAAATATTCATTGCTGGTTCGAGTCCCGGCTGGGCAGTTGGCATTCCTGTGTGGAGTTTGCATGTTCTCCTCAGGCTCCAGTTTCCCCCACAGTGCAAAGACATGCGGTATAGGTGAATTAAGTAAACTAAATCGGCCATAGTGTATGAGTGCGAATGGCTGTGTATGGGTGTTTCCCAGTACTGGGTTGCGGCTGAAAGGGCATCTGCTTTGTAAAACATATGCTGGATAAGTTGGCAGTTCACTCCTGATGAATAAAGTGGTGACTCCTGATGAATAAAGGGACTAAATCTAATGAAAATGAATGAATAATAAGAATATTTATAATAATATTTATAATAATAAAAATGTTAACAGTTATTAATTTTTATTACAGATAAGAAAGGGGATTGTTGTCATTAGAAAATAATATATTTATAAAATGTATTGGTATATAAATGGTATTCTTATTCTTTCTCTTCTACTAATTATTATTAAAAATGGTCTTATACTTTTGTTCTTCATCATATTTTTATTATTATTTATAAATATTAAATTAATAAAGGTATTAGTATAATTTTTTAATAAAATTATTTTTATCATCAGTAAAGTAAAAAAAGTTCTTATTAAATTCTTATTTAATTTAATTTACTTAACTTAATTTCTTTTTATTATTATTTTTTAGTATCATTTTTATCAGTATCTTTTTTTATTAAAATGATTTTTATCATCAGTAAAGTATAAAAATATTTAAAAATGTCTTATTAAATTCTTAAACTAATAAATGTATTAGTATCATTTTTTTTACCATTAGTAAAGTATAAAAATATAAAAAATATTAAAAATGGTCTTCTTACATTCTTGTTCTTCATCATCTTTTTTTTTTATCATTTTCAGTATCATTTTATCAGTATCTTTTTTTATTAAAATGAGTTTTTATCATCAGTAAAGGATAAAAATATTTTAAAATGTTTTATTAAATGCTTATTCTTCATCATCTATTTTTTATCATTTTCAGTATCATTTTATCAGTATCTTTTTTTTATTAAAATGAATTTTTATCATCAGTAAAGTATAAAAATATAAAAAAATGTTTTATTAAATGCTTATTCTTCATCATCTTTTTATTATAATTTCAAAGTAATAAACTAATAAATGTATTAGTATCATTTTTTATTAAATTGTATTTTTTATCATCAGTAAAGTATAAAAATATACATATACTAAAATAGTCTCATTCTCATTCTTCATCATATTCATCATCATTTTTTTAAATATTAAACTTATGAATGTACTATGATCATTTTTTATCAAAAATGTTAGTTTTTTTTTATTAGTTTTATAATTTTTTTTCTTTTTTGTTTTTGCTCATAATTGACTATTATTAATATGCTTCTAATTGCAAATCTCTTTTTTTTTTTATTCATCACACTTCAGAAGTGCACGGTGTATGCAGACTGCATGGTTAATAACATCAGACTCCTGTAATTAAATATCACTCTAGGCCTTATAATCACTGTCTCTTCAATTAATTACACAGCCCTAATTTCTTTATTGACATGGACACCGTTCTTCCTCCTCCATCGAGTGATTCAGTGTTTTTCTTTTTCCTCCAGGCCAAACTCGCCCTGCAGAATGACTTGGTGAAGCCCATTTCACCAGCCTTCCTCCCGTCACCCTTCTCTACGACCACAGTCCCGTCCATCTCTCTCCACCCTCGCCCCAACACCTCCATCTTCCAGACGGCTTCACTTCCGCACTCGTTTCTCCGTGCCGCTCCCGGACCCATTCGACCCACTACCGGCTCCATCCTCTTTGCGCCTTACTGAGCGGCTGGATATTGAAACAGTGGTGTATTTATTGAAACTTTATCCTCAACTGTCCTCACCATCACGAAAACCCAATAAGGATATCGTCTTCGTGAGGACTTTTGCATTTAAAAATTAAAAAAAAAAAAATCAACAAAAAAAATGGTTCCACTTTAAGTTAAATGACCTTAACTACCGTGTGCTTAGATTTAAGTTCATAAGTTGGTACAACCCTGCTGAAAAAAAACAGCTTTAACCAGCCTGGGCTGGTTTTAGCTGGTTGACCAGAAGTGCGTTTGCGAAACCATCGGTAGCCAACTAAGGTCGCAAGTTCTGTTATTACTTACATAGTTTGTTGATTGGGCATTTCCCAAATCCATCGTTCCAACGAACATTTGCAAACTTGCATGCTTGCAACCACACCTCTTGAGCTGAAAATAGAAGCATAGTTCCTGGTTGTGTTCTATTTCCAGTTATCCCCCCTATGCCCTATTCATATCGAACCTCCCAACATTTAAACTTGGAGTGATTTAAAAATTAAAACTTTAAAGTCATCTCTCTTAGATGCTTTCCAAGTATTTTTACCGTTCACTTTTAGCAATCTTTATTTTGACAATTGCGTTAATTTGTGTTAATAATTTGCGTATGCAAACCTGAGGAGATTTCTTCGCATGAAAGACCCTTAAATTCAATTAAATATGAAAAAAATGTTTAGACAAAATGATGGACAGGGAACTGAACTAAGCAACATAACAGTTCATTAATGAAGAAGTAGGATGTCCCAAAACTTACATACTCTCTGTTACACACTCAAAAGTATTTTGGGATGTTGTATAAGTAGCAAGATTGGGACGTCACGCAATCATTAATGTTTAATGATCTTACTTACAATCCCCTGCTGCTAAAGAATATTTGAATAAACCTGATTAAAAATGGGGCATTTATACCATTAAGCTACAGCGAGTCATATTTATCAATGTACTGCCTTTATATCCATGCTGTCGTTTTTGTCTCGCTTGTGTTTTAGCATTCAGCAGGCATGATGTCATGAGATGTCAACATGATGTCAGATTGACGTTGTACCCCAACACCGTGGGGATGTTGTATTTTGTATGGAAATGAAAAGCAGGTTGAGGTCAGAACTAAAAGTCAGGCCGACGTCAATGTCCAACGTCCAACCTTAAATCAACCAAATATCTAATGATGTTACAGTTTGACATTGTGTGGACGTTACCACTATGACGTCTATCAGATGTTGGATTTTGGTTGCTACACCCGATGAATAAATGTCAGTATTTGGACTCAATATGATGCTGGGTTTAAGTAACAGTAATAACAGTAGTAATGTGCATGGATCAGTTTTAACCAATGGCTGTTTTAAGTAGGTGTACAACAACTAGAGGTCGCGTTAACCGAATATTTTCCGTCATTGACGGATTCTTTTCAGCAATGACGGAAAGGTGATCCGTCATTTTGACTTATTATGCTGAGGGTGATCTATTGTAATTTGTAGCTAACTGTAATTCCCACTCCTGTCCAGCTGATGGCGATTATCCTTGTTTTGTGTCCTCTATGTCACCGCTGCGCTGCATACAGTTGCAAAAATCTCACAACAGCCGAGTGTGAGAAGTTTCTTTAAACGGACAAATAGATGTGATATTAATAATAAAGGGGAACAAAGAGAAAGGGATGCTGTGGACGATGAAGAAAAAACAGACAAAAATCCTCAGCACCGACAGCTGTCACGAAACAACCCAGCGGCAGCAAGGAGGTCAGATGGTTTGGAGTGCGTTGTGAGCACTACCGAACGTAGAGGGGTGCAGAAGGAGCGCATGCTGTAGTATTTTTTGAAGGATCGGGAAATCCCACATTCAGAGAATCCAGCAAACTTGGTTCTGATCACAGCCTTAGGAGGAATGTTTCCTAACTACAAAACGCTGGCTGAAGTGGCGCTAGTCGACTTTCCGAGGCAAAGACACAGAATTTAATGACAACTGCCTCTGCATCAGTCTCCCTTGATGCGTTTGATTACGCACAGGCAAGCACCCAGTTCAGGTCAACGCAGGAGGAAGATATGAGTTAAGGCAGATAGGACTTATTGTTCATTTGTCAAATAAATAAATGAATAATTTAGCCTATATGCTCATCATGCGAGTTGATTATTAAAATATGAATGAAAAAAGTGGGTAGAAAGTCTGCAAATTAAATAACGATCAATAATAGGTTATGACGGGAATTTTACAACCCTCTCCATCAAAATGACAGACAATGAGAAAGTCTAACGCGACCTCTGACAATTACCCTTGGTGCTTTTAGTGTTTAAAATATCCGTCCATGTTTCCATAACACATTAAGTACATTGCTTTTATTGTTTAATGTAGGGACATAGTTAAGGGCACGTGATATAAAGTGGAACCAAAAAAAAAATAGTTGAACTGCTTCCTGAAAGACTTGAATTATCGTGGTCTTCCTTTTCAACTCAATTCAACTCAACCAACCATGGACAAGCACACGTCTTGAGGCGTTGTCGGAAACAATCCCAGATCTCACCGTAGGTGTTCAGTCAGAGGCTTGATGTTGTCAGGGAGCCTGTGATGCAGTTTTTTGGCCCGTGTGCTGTCTTGTATCGTGTAGTCAATAAGCTCAATCACCAGTACTTCAGTCCACTTTTTTCCCCCTTTTCTCTAACTGGAAACGCAGCGTTTTTCTTCTCCATGTGTGTTCGGCATCCTCCATTTTTTTTGTCATATAAATAAATTCAACCCGTTTTCATCACAAATCAAACTCTATTTTTATTTTGTGCGTGTAATAGGAAATTGTGGGCCTTTCACCTCTCTGTGATTTCCTTATTCGTCATGAGACTGGCAGATCTCTGACGATGCAATAATGTATAGATGGTTAAATATTGATATTCTCCATAGTGTATTTAATGTTTACCTACCAGGTTGCAATACTAGTTGTGTTTTATGAGCTGGGGGAGGCACTAAGAGGACTAGGTACATTATTTTTAGAGAACAAGAAAGAACAATTTCCATTCACTGAGAACTTCTTTATTTGACTGTGGAATTTCATAGTCCATAGTATATATAAATCTATGTATGTATGTATGAGAGTCTGTACATAAAGAAACTACATTTTCAATAAAATAATATATTTAATTCATGACTTCTTCATGAATTGATACTGTATGTTTCTTTTAGTCGTAATTCAATGTTTAGCTTTATAATTATGAATCATATTTTCAAACACCGTTTTTTTTTAATGATGCTGTTTCTACTGTATGTTTTGAGTTGGTTCATTGGTGCAGGAGGTTTGTTTGTTTAAATTGATTAAATCTTTCAGTGTTGTGTAATTTAATTATTGTTTTAAATGGTTTTTCATAGTCTCAAGTCTTTTTCTGTATATGTTCATCTCCTAGAAGAATGACTGATATAATTAACATGATCGTATCTCAGTTCTCTGTTTGCACAGCAAATTAATGAATCGAGAAATAATGCAGTCACGCTTTTATGCATTAGTATTAAAATCAGGAATGTGATTAGTCAGTGTGCCTTTTGCGGGCTTTAAAAGTCTAATGCTTTTTTACTGGTAATTATTCATCCTTCTTTCATTACAAATGATTATTTCATCATCTTGAGTTCAAAAATTGCTTGTGGACTCAAGAAAGCCTTTGTTTCCTGGTATTATCAATGTTAGAAATTTAATAGTTCTCTTTTTCATTTTGTTAGATATTTGTAATTTTTTAGACTCTCAAACTATTTTTTTATTTGGAGCTGTGTCACGTAGATTTGCAATTTCCATTTGTGAATCAATTTAGTCAAATTAGTTATTTTACTTGAAGAGCTAGTTCTGTGCATACTCAAGTAATGTCGTTGTGGTTACGGTTGCCTCGTTGTTTGTGTTTGGAGCTTTGTCGCATAGATTCGCAAGTTCCATTTGTGAATAAATTGACTCAAATTAACTGAGTCAAATTAATGGTTTTACTTTGAGAACTTTACTTTGAGGGCCATGAAACCCCCTCGTTTCAGCAGGGTGTTTTCACACCTCTACTTTGGAAAAAGTCAGAAAAGTGGGCGTGTCCAGCTCTGTTTAGGGGGGAGTGTCGGAGGAAGAAAAGCGGCTTGGTATGGGAGTGTCTATTTGGGTGCGCTGAATTTCAGAGTCAAAACACACAACCACAGCGGACAATGTGACTGTGTTTACATGGACATCTGTAGTCGAATTATTAGCCAAATTATTAAATGGTGGACTTTAACTGCAGTTTGGCTCTTTCATTCAGGGAATTCATTAATGTCCCTCCCGACAAACGTGATATTTGATTCGAGGCGCTGCTCTAAGCGTGTATTTTTCATGCAATGTTTGATACCGCACGGCGAATGAGAGAAAAAAAAAACTCAGCATTTCCCGGAAACTTAGATACACACGGCAGGTAGCGTCAGAAAGCCGCGTGTGTTATTCCAGTCACAAAATCCAACACGAGGTTATAGTTTGGTTGTAACTGTTAGTGCTATTGCACTCGGTGCAATAGTTTATTTGATACGAATAAAATACGAACTGAATAAACAAAGAGCACTGGTCGCTCACTTACCAAATCTGTAGAGACAGGACAATCACCAGCAACTAGAGCCGCGTCTTTATTTAGAGGAGACTACAATCTGGATCTCAGCGTTTGCAGATGAGAACAGCTCTCAGGTAAACAATAATCCTCCTTAGACACGTAAGTTATTGTTGTCGTGCGTCGCGTACACTGTTAATCCACACGTGAGTCTGCGGTCTCACAGAGACAAAATGAAAACGAAACTTAACTGCAGCAAACTATAAAAGCAACACTTCACGCTTGTTTTGCCAACACAACGTGGCGTCTTTGCCGTCTACACTGTGACAGTAATGAATATTAATGAAGTTGCACAATAGAGCGCGCTGATTGGTTTGAACCAAGCCTTACTCATGCATTAATGTATCACACTGTAAGACGTAATAAGACTCACTCTGGCACAGACGTCCAGTCTGCACGCTGGAATACAACGCTATTATGTCATGACCGTGACGCAGCTTCAAAAATTCGTTTCAAACAGGAAGTACGAATTTGCTTGAAATAACGCAAAAACAACCAATTTACACTTTTTAGTGAAATATAGGTGTCCTAATAG